TTTGGCAACGATGCAGAAAAACAGTTTCTTTCGTGAACCGCCCACCTTGTCTGAGCGAGCTGGCATTGATGGCATTTTCTAGCATTTGTGCGCAGTAGTCGCGAAGCGGTATTAGACTTAGACTCTATAATTGACCGAGCTATTGCGAAGAGCAATGTTGCCGGCTCCAGAATTAAAGCCCAAGGGCACTTGACATGAAGAAATCCGGACGTGGAGAAAAACTCAGATGAGAAAACGGATATAAGGAGAAGAAGAGAAGTACCAAAAGGAGCAAGACAATCCAATCGGACAAGTTCGCAAAACGTGACGAGCGATCGTAACTTTCAAGGAGGACCCAAGACAAAACATATCAATGACAACAATATGAGAAGATACACTACAGCAATAGTTTCAACGACGAATTCAAATACAATTAAACAACCTCAATCAGTAGTGCTAAATACAACACAATACAAAACAACTATACAACGCAATTTAAATACTACTATTCAACGCAATACACTACAGCAATTCAACAACAACCTAAGCAATATAAACCTATTTACAACACCACTATATCATCACAATGCGAAAAATCTCACAGCATTAGTATTATCAATCTCCAAGAATAATATTCAAGCTACAGAAGACCTTCAATCAAAATCAGATGCATTGGAAGTATAAACAGCTACCAATTGAGGATCTAAGTGAAAAAGTTGTCGTCTCCTCCCATGAAGGTGTGAGCTGCAAGTGGTGTGACGCTTCTATCTTCGAAGAGAATTTCGTAATTAAAGACTTGGGAGTAATTAACAAAGTCACATTGCACAGTTTGTTTGAAGAATTTTTCATTAGATCTTCTGATGTAATCTGGAATCGTCTAAGGTTTTAAGCCTCTTTGTGTAAAAGTTTATGCGGATAAGATAGTGTGAATCAGTAATAATGAGCAGAAATTTGTTTTGCACTACTTGTAATTGATGCAGTTGAGTTTGAGTGACCGTGTTCCAAGCAGGAGCAGCATAACAAAGTATCGGTCGAATGCAAGTGGTATATATATGTTTTTTGGTACGCAAGCTGAGATTTGAATATTGGTAAATTGTGTTGTAAATATTTAAACACTTTATTTTTAAGGAGCGGTGGATAAATTTTGTTACATTTTTATAGCTACAAATCTTAACATTAATAAATATTTAGTGTAATTTTAGCTCTTGTTTGTGTTTTATGAAGTTCTAAAATTTCAAGTGCAAAGATGATAAACATAAAAAGCTTAAGGGGCCTCATACACGTTAAACCCCTTATGCTCTTCGAATATGTGACTGTTGCAAGAATTGAGATATTTTTATTTAATTTAAAAGAAATTACTCCCAACTTTTTACAGCGACAATATAATATAGCTGCTTTGGAAACTAGTAACCAGAAAGTTTGTGTTGCCACACATACTTTTGTAATTTAATCCGCTTTGTGACAAAATTTGTCGTCATGTTTCCACCTTGCGCGCATAATATTTTAAAAATGGCTAATGGCACATGCTTGAAATTGGATGAAATTCTTTTAATGGGCACTATTTTCTAACTGAATCAAAAATTTGAGGAATATTTTAAAATTAAAAAATTTTATGCACGAAAACATTACAGATTTTTTTAATAAAATATTATGATTTATTTTTTTTTATAAACTCAACTCCAAATAAAATAAAATTTTAACATGAAATTCTTAGATTTTTTGGTTCACAGTAGTTTCCGAATGTTATAAAAGCTATATATTAAGTATGGAATTAAATTATGCAACAGAATGTTTTAAACTGTGCGCGCAAGGTAGAAACATAACGAAAGAGTTTGTCACAAAGCGGATTAAATTATAAAAATATTCGTGGCAACACAAACTTTCTTATTACTATTTGAGGAAGCAGCTATATTATGTAGTCAGCTGTAAAAAGTTGGAAGTAATTGCTTTTAAAATAAATAAGTTATATCAGTTCTTGCAACAGTCACATATTCGAAGATCTTATGAGTTTTAAGGTGTATGAGTCCCCTTAAACAATGTGTAATATTAGGAATCAATTCAGTTTAATCTTGCAAATTTCATTATTATTAAAATGGCTAATTATTGCATTATATTTTTCTCCTTAGCATATGATTTAACTTATTTATTACTTTTTTGCAGTAGAGATATAAACATTTTTTTAAATCCCTTAACTTTTTCTGCTATAGCTGGGATAGCTTTAATAATTTGAAAAGTTCTATGAAAATTAAGGCAAAAATTCTAAATGAAATATTTGAGTTCAATGAAAATGCTAGTGAATTTTTATCGCTTTCGAAATTAGTACCACAGAAACCTTAAAAGGAGTGTAAAAAAGAAAGTTTTCAAAACAAGCGGCCTTTTTAATTTCATAAATTTACAAAGATCCTACGATATTATTTTTCACAACTTTCCGCTATGTTTTGTCTAACGGCGTGCACTTGTTTATGCCGGCATCGGCCACTCCTAAAGCGAGATGTGGCGGTTTCTTTATTATGGAGGCACCTAATAGGTGGGCCCCCATTGCCTCCTATGAAGGGACAGACAATTTTTACATCCAACCCCTTATCCGGGATTCGAACCCAGGCCCTTCGGTATCGCAGTCAGGGTTCCCTAACCACTATACTGTCTGGGCTGGGCGGCTTAAAAAAAAAAATTATTTTTGCAAATATTTATCAAAGTCTGGAAAATCTGAATTTTTATAAAATCTTTAATTGAATGTAACTTTAATAAGTAAATTCAACTGAAGATTTCGATATGTGATTTAGAAAGTGCTTTTCTAATTTAAAATTCTGCAAAAATATCTACTTTTATTTTTATCACCACCTTCTAATAATTCTGTTATGTTCCATACATGTAAATCCTAGTTCACTTCTATCTTATAACTTCAGTACTTACATAGTAGTATGTATGTACTGAAGTACTGTACCCTTTACATAGTACTTCAGTACTGTAGCAGCCATCCTTCCGTTTATGATCGTAACGTGTGTCATCATCATTATACAAAAGAAATTACAGGTTCTCAAAGAATTAGCGAATTCGACGTTTTTTCCGCAGCTGCTGTTGCCATGGTTATGAATCATGGTTGGAAGAAAATAGCCTTGAATTGCCTGTTTGTAAATTAAAGACTACAACTCACTGCTATGTTAATGCTAATATGCTGTGTTTGGTTGATACTCACACAATGTTATGAAATTTTCACTAGGATCATACATTGAATCGTCATTTGTTCAAGTTCATTCTGTCAAATTCTATTCACTTTCTCCGTTCTATGCTATGTTGATGATACTGAATTTTTAGTAGGTTTAGTAATGCTTATAATGGTCAATGTTTACAGAATTTGTGACCTTTTACGAGAGCTAAACTTATATATGTTCGATTTTACATTATATTGGATATTTACTGTAAATAATTTACTATTTTGAATTGCATAATTTACTGTAAATAATTTACTGTATTGCATAATTTACTGTTTTGATTGATGCTGCATATATTTACTTGAACCAGTCAATTATTCAACTTAAAAGAAAACACGAAGTTATGATTAAAAACTAATAAGATTAGACGCGCCACCTGCGGAGTGACAGACCACCGTCCTAAGTGTGACGTCTAGCACAAGCGTTTTTGGAAAGAGGTTGTATTTGTAGCAAGCTGCAACTAGTTTCATTTACCGTTCGATGTTAATGTGCATCCTTGTTAGAGATTATTACGGAAATATACAGATGTCTTACGAAAGAGTTTGATTTTCGATCAAAGAGCAAGTTCCAAGTTGTAGAGTTTCTCTCAATTCAATCAACCAATTATTGTTTTTGTTATCTTTTCTGAACTCCTCAATTTCCACTCGCATTTCCTCGCCAGGATGAAAATTTAAAGTTGAGTGAAGTGAGTATTTAAACGGGTGAATCTTGGAGTTTGTTCAGAGCGTACTTTTGGTAGCCAGAGCACGTTACGAGCCTGTCCTTCCTGTTTCGCGGAGTTGCCGATGCGCCTTTTTGGCCACTTAAGTAATTATCCCGCCTGTCAGGTTTGTGGAGTCAACCTAGTTAGCCTTAACTTAAAGTGCTAGTCCAGCATTGCTCTTTACCTTTTGAACTGATTGTATAACGCTTCTTAAGTTCCACCGCAAGTTGTCGGTGTTATTGTAAAGCACGAAGTACGTGCCTTTCTGTGTATAGTTGAGAATAATAAAGGATTATTTTAACCCTTCTTCTGTGGTTGTTTCCTTTAAACCCGAGCGAGAAGCTTCCAGGTTTCTTAGTAGGATCTCGTAGAGTTTATGTGGTCAGAGAGAGTAAGAACCTATAAAGTTATCTAACTTAAAGAAAGTTATTTTCGAGAAGATATCGATTTTTCAGTTATGTATTCTTGCTTTAACTATTGCCCACAAGAAGTGAATAAATAAATTTTGTTGAATTTTAAATCTGTGCTTATGTGTTAGCTAATTGCAGTCAGAACGGCAATTTGCCGAAATTTCGTAACTTACAAAGTCTGTAATCCGGACGTCCATTATCCGGAATGATCTATAATCCGGACCTCAATGCTACAAAAATTTTTTGTATGCTTTACGCATGCGCGTTTAGCACAAAAAACGAAGCAACTTAAACAACTTACATTGAAAGAAATGTTTAATAAAGTAAGCAAATAAATATTAAGCTTTTTTTGTAAATTTTGATGTCCTTATCAAATTGCTTTTATTCATAAATTACGGTTTCATATTTTTAATTATATAATTTCTGCATGCCATCTTACCAGATTTAAACTGATGATCTATAATCCGGAAAAACACTTAATCCAGAATCACCGATGTCCCGACGAGTCCGGATTACGGACTTTGTACTCTATAAGAGAAGTGTTTTTAAATGGATTGTTTCCTCATTCGCAAAGTTATACAGCAGTGTATTGTGTAATATTTTTGAAAGCCAAGGAGAGGATAATTCCTTAAAGAAAATAATAATACCAAGGCCACCTCTCGATGCAAATATAAATTTATCAGTACTTATTTGAAACAAAGTATTCGTACATAAGAAAATTTCGAATATATTTTTGAAATTAGCACAGAAATATTATACAATTCAGATATTTTAACTCGCACACCGAACAAAAAGATAAGCTTCATCAGTTGAATTAATTTTTCAAAATATTCTTAGTGAAACAAAACACAAGTGCCATTGAAATTGGCGATATTTTGATATTACTTTTGGGTCAGTTATTTTCTTTCAAATGATTCATTCCTATATGGCGACCCTATTCGTGCATCTGAAGGCGCTGTGCTAAACTTTAAAACTTAAACACTTTAATAATAATCACTTCAAGATCATTTATCCGATCTAGTATGGTCACCTACCCAATGTTCTAAATTGCTTTGAAAACAGCAGAATATGCATTTACCATTATTAATTGAGTGTAAAATGGTTGACAAATACTGCTGCTGAAATGTATTTATCTGCCGGCATTTTGAAGGATTCTGGGAAGTCCAAGAATACTGTTGATTAATTCTGTGTTGCGCTTCAAAGGTGAGGGCCTCAGAGAGTTGCATAACGCCCGTATCATCTCCGTAATGCACTAAAATAACAAAAAAAAATCTGATTATTAAGAGTAGTAGATGAATATTAAAATAATGTATACATTTAAATTTTAATTCCCTTGTTCGTACAATTTATGTTTTGAAGCATGAAAAATATTTTGAAAAATTCTGAAATGTTTCAGGTTTTAAATTACGTCTAAAGAGGCGTTTTTTTTCTTTTTTACGTATTGTGTATTTTTTTTTACGCATTTATTTATTAAATATCACGTTCTTCGAACCATAAAAATCTGTTCAACAGCAATACTGCAAAATAGTTTTAAAATGAGACTATCTTTAGAATTTCCGATACAGAGACTCACGCGCGGGAGCTAAAAAGTTTTTCTGCAAGTTGCCGTTGCTCGCTTTGAAATCCTTGAGTTGTAATCAAAAATTCTTGAAGTTTACGAAATAGAAATAGATAATAAAACAAGTTCAAATTTGGGATTCGACATGCCGATTTCGTAGGAGCTTATGTCATCAAAATGGATGGCTCTAGTACGTGTTTTACACAATGCGAGAAAGTATACATTTATGCAGATTTGTTATTTAATTTCTTTAAATATTCGTCAGGGCGATAGTAATTCGTGGCAACAGTTTAAAAAGTGATTCGCCGTTTGTAATGAATCGAGACAAAATCGCAAAACGAAAACAATAGTCCTTCAGGGACAAAGCCCCTTTGGACTAAAAACATTTAAAAAAACAGAATCATACCCAGTGAATACGAGAGGTGAAGAAGGGTTACCCAGTTGACGTATTTGATTTTTTGTTTTATCATCTTTGCTTTACCTACCCTTCCTTTGTCTTTCTAGAGGTAACTAGAGACGAAGACGATAGGTCGAAATCTAGAGGATGATGATAAAACAAATTCCAAATTAGGGCTTCGAGATGTCCATATTCGATGGAAGATTACGTTATTCAAAATTCCATGGTTCTAGGTACCGTTGTTTTATCACCATGCTAGAAACATATACAAGTGGTGATGGTAATAAGCAACAGTTAGACTTATGAAACATTTAAGTGCGAAGAACATTATATTTATTACATAAACGTAACACACAAAACGTTAAAAAAAACTGCCCTTTGGACGCTATATAAAATCTCAAAGGTTTCAGATTTTTATGTATTTATTTCGTATATTTTTATTATGTTTGCTCACTTATATTGAGGAATCCTTCACAAATAAGTAATGTACTTTTATATGTACTTTTTTTATCATACAAAAATATTTCCGCCGATATTTCTCTTCTTGAACGATGTCGCTCAATGTTTCAGCTCGAAGCAAGTATTTAGTTTGACTTGTAGAAGGTATCATTCGACGGTCCTAAAAGAATCCATGATTGGGCCGGCACTTTGTCATTCCGGCACTTCAGCAAAGACAATGCCTGGGTGAAATCATTTTCATGCAAGATGCAGCCCTCCAAAACGTTGCTGTAGGGTGCAACAGTGCTACGACAGAAAATTCACAACAGAAAGAGTATTAGCCGCTACGTTCCAACTGCATGGCTACCTCGGTCGCCTGATCTTACCCCATGCGACTTCTGGCTATGGGGTTACCTTAAGTCCAAGGTCTATCAAGGAGTGGTCCAGGACCTGGCTACGTTGAAAGAATACATATCACGGATGTACGGGATTCCTGCGACATGTTACTTTCTGCTGTTGTGCATACTGTGCACAGAATGCAATATGTGGTCCACAACAACGGCAGCCACATTGAACCTCATTTGAATGCAAAATAAAGGTAATTTCAGTATTGATTTGCATTTGTAACATTCTATTTTCTATTACACAGCGCCAATATTCCCCTAGTGGTGACTTTTGGAACTATTTTTTTCGCGGAATCCTTGTCCCCCGTCTTGTTAATCTTCACAAAATGTGGCGTCATTCTCGCAAAAGAGATCGCGCTACAGAAACACTGTGAACACTGTCAGTTTAATTATGGCCACCCGTTATATATATATATATATTCTCGTATTTTTTTATATTTATTGAAATATAAGAATCAGTTCGCTTTTTCGACATTTATAATAACTAGTTTAGGTTTAATATTATTCTTATCTTCTAATTTGAAGCTATCAAAGATTGTTTGCTTCAGTTTGTTCTGTTCGATTAAACTTGGTAATGAGAGACATTATGCACTTTTCAAAACAATGCTTTCTTTAAATGCTACAAAAGTTGCACTTACCGAACTGAGTGTAGGATGATGCAAGGAATTTAATGTACTGGATCCATCCGTAGCATTTTCGCAACAAGTGGCAGTCTTCCATATAAAACAGACGATAAACAGAAAGATAGCTACTTGCAAAGAATATGAACGTGTGATAGCGACAGGCATAGTGGAATACTTCGATTTTCCTGCAAAATATTGTGTAGAAAATTTAGCAATGACGCAACTTCCTCAAAAGAAAATTTTAAAATAATTGTAAGGAAAAAAAATTGCTCATTTATTTAAACTGACGTATATTTCTTAACGAATACCTATCTCAAACAAGTAATTATGTGCAACATGTAACATAAAAATGTTGGCTGGAACTTTTACTCTTCCTAGTGAAACCTGCATCCTTTTTATACGATTAACGATTTCAGAATTTTGATTCACTGTAATAATACATAAAATATCTTGTATACTAATATTGAAGATATTAAATCAACTATAATCAGCTAAGCTGTATAACTTTTCAGGAATAGTTTCGAAGGTTAAATAAAACCCTCTTCTGCAGCTGCAGGTGTAAAAGTGACGGTGGAGAAACATACGCTCACGTGATACCAACAGGCTGAAAATTCTACAATATTTCAGGTAACGAGAAAACTACTGACGCCATCTATTGACAAAAAGTGAAAACAAGTATAAAATATTTTTTTAAAAAAAATCTGGTGGTAAGGACAGATTGGAACTGGGAAATATTTTAACCCGAAAATTTTTCATAACTGTTTTAACGTTTTGTAAACTCTATTCCTTTCCTTAGCTTGAATTTTTTCTCTTATTGTTATCGCTTGAGCATGTGTTTCTCTTCGTCTCTTTCACTCTTACAGCTGAAGAAGAAGGTTCTATATAACCTTCGAAACTAATCATTCAAAATATGCAACTTATGCTTATTTTTTATGCTTAAGTATCTTCGATATCTGTATCTTCACTATTAAGTATCTTCAATATTTGTTCTTCTTCTGCTTATTTTAGTTAATACTACTGACTATTAAAATCTGAAAACCCCTACTTTATGTATAAATTCGTAATGTTTTGTTATGAGCAGACAACGATGTGTTGTCAGGTGTTTGTTGTCCTTTATTTCATTGTTATTGCTTAATTTGTATTAGTTTTGCGCTCGTGAAAGCTCGGTGCATTCTAACTGTAAGAGCATTTTGTATATTCTACGAACGAAACAAAACGCAGTAGAAGTGGCGAAAATAATTTGTGATGATTAATTCTGTTGCTAAATTCTTATGCTATTATTGCTTATTATTAAATAATATGATCAATTCTATTGCCCTATTCATTCTATTGCTAAAGTACAGCAAGGAAATTGTGCTCTCGATTCCAGGAACAGCGATTTAATCTGATGATGCGAGTTTCAAGGCTTTGATTTTGATGAAGATCGCTTCGTCGGATAATGCATGAATTGGCATAATTTTATGAAACGTGATCACGCAACCATCCTGAGAAATTTGTATTCGATGGGTAAGATTTAATCCATTACCAAAAGGCTACACCACCGTAATGCTTGGAAAATACAGTACAAAAGAAAGAAAAGTTAGTATTCGCCAAACATAAATTGCATAGACAAATGAAATTCTTCTTATTTGAAACAAATGGTTGCTAATTTTTAATTTAATTTCACCATCAATAAAAATAAAAAAATTAATAACTTTAAAAAAATTTCTTATTTCCATCTCTATTTTTATTTCGCTGTCCTCTTTCATGATACAACTTGTTCGAAGATGCTTAGTATATCTTTAATTACCGTTCATTAATATCAGACATAATTTTAATTTAATTTTCACCTTCCTGCAGAAGGCAGCTACAAATCTGCATATTTAAATCACCACAAAAAACTATTTTAAAACACTACAAAATTATTATTTTATTATTTAATAAAGCACTATAAAATATAACAATATTTTATTATTTTAAAACACTATAAAATGTAGTCCGAGAATAGTATATATACATTGCACAAAAAATATGGAATAGTTATATATCTTCTAGTTCTTACTGGGGCAATTGACGAAACTTAACTCGGATTCCATGTCTAGAAAGCGCGACTAGGGTGTATATTAGATTTATATAAAGCGTTGCTCTAAGACTGGTATTCTGACACAAAATCGGACGTTTTCTGAAACGCCACAGCGATTGTTTTCCATATTTCGATTCTACGACTAAAATTATGCCCAAATATTAAATTTTGTAAAATTTGAGAAACATGCATAGGAATTTAAAAGAATAATTCACTTGACGAAATTCTCAATTTATAGCAACGTATATACCTTTGCCTTTCTTTATAGTGCACCAGCAGAAAAAAAAAAGTGCGTCGTCTGTTCTTTCAAATAATTTTATTTATAATAAGTGCGTAAAGCATATGTATCCTTATAATCGCTTATAATAAATATGACAAATTTCAAAAGGCGCCAATATATAAATTTACGTATATCTTTGAAATTTTTAACAAAATGTGTAAATTTTTTTGAAGATATGCCTAGAAATACATATACTTTAAAATGCTGGTAAATTTTTATAGGTTATAATTCAAAAATGTTTCCGAAAAATTTGTAAAATTTACTAAAAAATACAAATTTTAAAAACGAATCAGAAAATGTCTGCGAGTTTAATTTGACCTAAGTGGAAAAAAAAAAAAAGTCCTGGAGTGCTTTGCTATAACTAAATAAAAATAAAATAAACCAGCGATTAAACTCGAAAAGAAAAAGAAAATTGAAAAAATTTCCTGTCATCGATTTAAAAAAGAAAAATTTGAAGATTTAAAAAAAGCATACTTGTTAACTTTTGGCTGAACCCAAAAAAAAGAATTTGAAGGAGTTTCGCATAAAGATATTAAATTTTTATTGCCTTTTTCAGAGGACCTATTTGTGTGAACAAAGATTTTCCTCCACGTTTTATTTGAAAAAGAAATACAGAACAAAATTAAACGTGGAACTTAATGTATGGTTAAAGTTAAGTGAAGTAAGACCAAGCAAAAAAGAAACTGGTCTCTCTTACGCAGGCCCAAATTTCTCATTCAATTTTAGAATTAAGTGTAACGTCGTCAGCTATTTTCCCACGGGCTCCCACGAAGTCTGGGAAAAGGAGACTTCAAATGGGCGCCCAGATGACCCCTGATGACACTTACGAATTTGAGGTCGAACCGTGACCCCAACAAAAGTGCGGAAAGCATATTGTTTTTACGAAAGGAGAAAACTTTCATACAAGTTCTCACGGGTTGTGGAGTGTCCATTGTGTGTATGCGACAGACTGTCGCCAACTGCCTGTTTCTCGAAATAATTTAGATAGACCTCCCAAAAAGACGTTCTGAATTTTCCCACGGAAAATTTCAGTTTCTCAGGCTGTCAAGACAGTATTGAGAACAATCAGCGCCTGTTGACCAATGGAGAGATGCTCCGAAAAAGACGTTTAGCGAATCACTGCAGCAGACGCACAAGACACGCCAAGAAAACCTAGACATAAAAACAGTGAGTGGAAAATAATTAGAGAGTTTTTTTAGTCTGAAGAATACGTAGTCGTTGCGTAGAGACAGAAGAGAGCCTTTCTCTTGTATTTTACGGCTTGTCCAGAGTCGCTAGTAAGCTTTAGAGAGCCCTTTCTCTCTTGTGTTTATTTTATGGCTTGTCCCGAGTCGCTACTAAGCTCTGTCAAGAGCGGGGGGAAAAAACTCTCAAAGAAGCGTAGCCGGACTTTTTCTCCGCTACCTTTTTCGACTTTGTTTGAACTCAAGTGATTATCGTTTCCTTTTGGAAAAGGACTACTTGCTAAGCAAACTACTTGTTATGAGCAGCAGTTGAACTTATCTTAAAATTCAATTTGTGAAATTTAACACTTACCTTATTTTCAATCACGCTACCAATAAAAATTGCTACAGCTAAAATCGCTACATAAGGTATTGTAACTATAATTTTGATAATTAAAATGGTAACCTATTTTGTACTTAATATTTTTTTTATTTGTGCGCATTTAATATAGCCTGCAGATTGTGCAAATGGCGAAATATATTTTTTTTAATATTTCTATTGAGAAACTGAAAAATAATTATTATAAAATGTAGTGGTGATACTAAAGTTTTTCAGCTTTTGTTTAGATTGTATGCGTTAGTCAAAAGGTTGTAAACCGCTGAACGAAACCAACAATATTTAAGGTTCATAAAACAGTAAACAGCGTTAATTATGTCTATTTTTAATTGCAATCGCTACCTTATATTAATGTACTAGCAGCCACGCGGCCAGCCTTCGCCAGACTTTTAAATGTAACAGGAAAATTCCTGAAGGGAATACCAAACATTAAATTTAAAAACTGAACAGAATTTTACTCTGCAGAACATCTTTATAAAAAAAAAGACACAAATTTCAATAAAAATATACTACATATAACAAAATTACAATGAAATAAGCAATATCCCTAAATACAAATATTAATTCTCTCAATAAATAAATTAAGCAACTCCCCGTTGCCCTCGCTCGACAAACGTCCAGTATCCAAGAGAAACATTCAATTTAAAATGTGCACAGAATAATCGCTTTCATTTTTCTAAGTGGCAACAGTGCTGATTTTCAACAGTCAGCAGTCCAGTATACAACTGAATGAAAAACTGTTGCCAAAACCTCATTTCTAAAAGAATAAAACTATTCACAATGATGGTATAAAATCGTAACGATGACATAAAATAAAAAATATGATTCGAATTTTGAAAAAATCGCTTCGAGGTGCACTGTCTCTTATCTAAATGCACCTATGTACCAAATTTCGTAGCCCTGGGTCCATTAGCTTACGAACAGCACGAACGAAAGACAAACAGAGTCCTTCTTTTATTTTATGCAGAGATTGCAAGATCGTGAAATAATTCAAACATAAATTTATCGTTCACATTTAAGAGTAGCAGAATGCTTATTTTATAAACATTTCTTTTGCTAAAAGAAAAACGTTTTACTTACGTTTTGAAAACACTGTTGGCAGTGCCGCAACAATAATGAGCGATAGGAGCTAAGAAAGCAATTCAGATAACTAACCTGTGGTCAGAAATTTGTCCTGTTACAGAGACCAGCATCCTTTATATACCTGATCGGTCATATGGTATCCACGTGAAATTCTTTAAACGTGAGAAAAGGACCAATGCCCACTCAGGAGCAGCTGCGAT